TTCTTACTCATCTACTTTTTATTTCCATCCTTATAACTTGTTAACCGTTCTTTGGTTTCTTTTTTCTTTTTTTTTTTCCCCCTCAGTTCTACATATGTTGCTTGTGAAAGGTGAAGGGATGAGTGACAAGAGCTTTCTTAATCTCAATCATGGTGGGTGATACTTGTAGAAGTGTTTGTGTTGTTTTTTGTGCGAGTATGGATTATCATTTCTTGATTTCCTTGTTTGGGTTTTGTTTATTTTAACTTGATTTGTGAGTTTTATAATTTGGTTCAAGTTAAAAAAAATTTTGGCTTAAAAGTAATGAATTCAGATTTTGTTAAATTTGTTCATTGTTTTATGTTTGGGGAAATGGAATTTAAAATTTAATGACCTTCTGAAATCCTTAATTAGTGCCTTGAATTTTGTATAAATATAGTTCAAACATATCAAAAATTTGAAGAAAGTGAACTTGCTTCATCTTTGGTTGATCTTGTAGAAGCTCAAGATGTTGGAGAAGTTGAAGGAACAAAAGTGATGGAGGAGATGACAAAGGAGCAAATCTAGGAATGGAATTGAATTTTGAGACCCTTTTTTTTTTTGTTTTTTCTTCTTCTTTTTTTCTTTTTTTTTTTTTTTTTAAATTGAATAACTTAAAAGTCCAATAGTAATATTGGACAAAGTGAAGCGTAGAGGAGGCTCTAAAGAATGAGAGAGGGCATAGGGCAAAATCAAAAATGAAAATGAAAGGGGATTGTTTGCAATCAATTACTAGTTAAAAGTTTTAGTCTTCTACTATGTGTCAAAAAATAAGGGAGAGTGGTGAAGCAATATATATTAGAGTAGACTCTCTATGTGAAGAGTCAACTCTTAATGAGAAAGATTTTATTTTCATTTTTAATAGTCGATTCTTAAATAAAAAAATATTTTATATTTATATGTGAAATACTTTTGTAAACTCAAAAAGATGTCAGCATTCTTTTTTTTTAGCTAAATTAGAGATTTAAATCATTTAAATAAAGAGTGAATAATGTAATTATATTAATTAATGTATTAAATGTTAAGTACTATTTATAAAGTAAAAAAAAATCAACTAATAAATTAATTTTTAGAGATAAAATGAATTTTTTTAAGTATAAGGATCAAACAATGGGCGAGAAGAGAAATTTAAATTTTTAGCAACAATGTACACATTGATGAAGAATTGACGCTCAAATTTCAAAGAGTGGGGTTGTTCTAGATGCTAGACAAAGTAGACTCTCAATGTGAAGAGTCAACTCTTATAAGGAAAGAGTCGATTCTAATTTTTAATAATCGACTCTTAAGAAAAAATATTATATATTTCTATGTGAAATATATATGTATATTCAAATATATGCCCACATTGGCTTTTTGAATAATTAATAAAATTCTACTAATGTAATTATATTAACTAATATCTTAAGTGTTAAGTAATATTTAATAGAGAAACAAAAATCTGCTAAGAAATTGAATTTCAAAAAAAAAAAAAAAGAAGGAATTTTTTGAAGTATATGAATCGAAAAATAGGCATGGTAATTTGAAATTTTAGCAATATGATATACATTGGTGATGAGTTATGCTATTTTAAATTTAAACAACTTTTAGCAACATAGGATATGTTGCTTATTGGAGAGCAAACCTTTTAGCAACATGATACATGATGTTGAAGGTTCTATATATAGTCCACCCACCCCCCACCAAGTTGAGCAATTGTTTGATTTCTCCTCCAATTCCTTCTGCGCTTTGTGAATACCTCCTCCGTTTCTCAACCTTTGTGATCC